AACATCAGACACAAACTCTATTGAGCCCCCAAACGATCCTGACCTCTTGTTATCGACCTTTGACCATTGCATATAGGCGGTGTGGAGCGGTCCTGTCTGTCGATGCCAAACAGTCCCTACAGACCAGAGACTCGGGTCAGCATTGCCGTGCCAGCGATTGCACTCAGCCTCCAATCCAGAGAGATGGGGCTCGCTGGAAAAACAAAGAATCCATGGAGCATCCAGAAACAGGCACTCGCATTACCGAACCCCATCCGCAACGCAGCAGGCTGTTCAGCGGAGCAGCTGTATCAGCGCAGGAAGAAAACCCGCTTCGCAAGACCATGAAGCGTGGCTGAGCGACGAGACGAAAAAGCGGACCCCAAGTTCCTCACTACGCGTGGAGACAGGCCGTTGTGCCCACTGCCCCATGCGTCTGAAGCGAACTGCGAATGCTGCCCCCCCCTCTCAGGGCGTACCCCTGCCTCCGCCCACATGGAGTGGGTTTGGCACGTTTAAGCTTACAGCCAAGTTGTGGTCTTTCTCGAGCCTGGGTCTTCCCAAGTTCTCAGAAAGCAGAAAATAGCAACCGTCGTCGGGACACTTCCTCTTCCGGTCATGTTCGAGAGGCTGATCACCTGCCGAGTCAGTCTGACGTGATGGATGGCGAGTGACAGTTCGGCCGGCGCATTGATTGACAGAGATCAGACATAATGCTGTCGACGTAATTGTGGAAAGGAGGGAGTGTGAGAGGTGCTGCAAGAAAGATTTCTGTGAGAAGAAAAGGCCGGAAGCCAGCGACAACCGTAAAGCGGCGTGTTACTGACTGCCAGGTTATATTTCAGAATTATCTGCCACAGAAGGCGGGGGAATATTGTCTGTCACCCATCCTGTTGGTTCCGGTCCCAAAAATCAAAGTAAAGCCAAAATCATTGATTGATTTGCCATGATGCCTATGTCGCCCTGTAACCCTCCATCCCGGTATTGCCGCCAGATTACGAGTTTATGGACGTGTTTAATAATATTGCGTTGTCGTTTTGCAGTTCGTGATAGTGTCCGTCTATCTCTAACTTCTCAATCCTCCTCTTGAAGTCGAGTTGGCTTGGTCGTTTAGATACCGGCTTCCTTGTTGGCCTGGTAGACGCCGGCGGTGTTGAAGGGAACAATGTTGCCGTTGGCGTCGGTCATGGCAGCCTCCTCCACGGGAACAGTGGAAGCAGCCTGGCGCTTCTCGACCACTAGGCTGATGTTAGTGTACCCCCAAGACTCATCCACGATATCCAAGTCGATGTGGTGACGTACTCTCGGTAGGAGCGGCAGCAACGAAGGCAGCAGCAACGGCGAAAAGAGTGAAAACGGAGTACTTCATTTTGACGGTTGGTTGGAAAAGTTGTTGATTGGAACGAGTGGTCGGCCGGCGACGAGCAGATAAGTTGTACAAGAAGAGAAGGTTGTAAAAGTCAAGTACGTTGAGAGAGAGTGTTGGTTGACTAGCAAGATCGAGAGAAACAGAACACGGCAAGGAGATGGACGTATTTGTATGTTATCGATGAAGCCCACGTACCTTACCTACCTTACCTTGACCCCCCGTCCCCCTCAGGGGGTCCCTCTGTGCCAAGTATCACCATCGACATCACACATCAGACATGGACGCTATAGGCGAGGAACAGCGATAGCGCACGGCTACACGGCCACACACACGCAGATCTGCCATCCAAATTCTGACTGGAACTTTACAGTCCTGTTCGCTCCCGCACCATGAAGTTGAGACCAAGCGGTCAGGGCTTCCCAACGCCCGGTTCCATCCCTGGCCGTGGTCGCCTCGACCCGCCGCCTCCCCTCTCAACTTAACATGGTCCTGGTCATACACGAAGGAGGCAGCCGCGAGCTCTTCCAGACAAGGCCAAGTTCGATGTGGATGAAAACAAGGGACTTCCCGGCGTGTCATCTGCACTTACAGGAACGATGCCAAGACCTGGAACAAGAGAGTTAAGGAAACCATGGGATATGGCGCTGAATGGCTGGCCCCATTCCTATCTTCTGGAGACTCCTCCTCCCCCTCTTCCGTCTCCTCTGTTCCCGCCTCTTCCTCCTTCCCCAGCCCGTCCGCCTGGTTTCTGCTTCGAGCCCATGTCAGGCAAGTGGATAGATCGGCATCTTTTTGGGGTGAAGTTTGATCGCGGGAGTAGAGGACTCCAGAGGGGACGTTGGGGCAACGTCTGAAACTGGGCTGTGACGAAGAAGCCGCGTAGCAGTGGCCCCACTAGTCAAAATGAGTGCCGTTGTCACAGAAGCCCATCGATCCTCCTCTCTCGCAAGCCGCAACCCCTGTTGCCCAAGGCTAGGACGAGCGAAGATCAGACAGCAAGCCGCTCGCTTTCAGCAAGTTCCGGTAGCAAAGTCAGCAGGGGAAGGCGGAGTTTTGATTTCTTGAAGGGGAGGGGACGCGGCGACGCTACCCCGGCCGCTGCATGTTGCCAAGTCTTCACCCCGGTGTACCTTATTCGTGAAGCTTGGCTTTGAGGTTGATCAGTGGGAATGGCGCTCCCGGGACGTGGGTTGGTCCAGACTTTTCGTGCTTGCGAGCGAGAGACAGGAGAGGGTAGAGAACAGACCGGTTCCAGGGGGCCGCTCACTTCTTCGACAGCGGAATGACGGGATGAAGAAGGCGTTCGGACCAGTGTCATTCCTGTTCAGGGGGTGTTTCGAAACTGGCTGACCCTTGCTATGTCGACGTCAGGGAGAGTTTGATGCGGGAAAATCATTTGAGCGGCCCGTTGATATCTTTAGCGTCGACTTCCTCCTCGAGTTCTGTTCGCTTGCATTGGTAGCTTACCTCATCCAGGAAAATGGTAGATGTGGCTGATGACGTGTGGCTGATGACGTGTGGCGCAGTGTGACCGGTCAGCCACTGCACGGCGCCGCATAACTGAGCCATGCAAATTATGCCCGGTGACATTTCACGACATAACTGCCCCAGAACTTCACAATCGCCGGGGCCAAATCGCGGGGTTCCGTTATCTGAAGTGGGGTTTGAAGCGGTACGTAGCGCCGATCAGCACCTTGAGCTACCATACCTATGCTCGAAGGCAGGCAGCCCCTCCCCAGCCCGAGCTGACCTCACCTAGAGGAAGCTTTCCTCGTCATCCCCATCTCCTTCTCTCTCGTACTCGAATACTGCAAATCCCATCCATCTCCGCGTCCCCTGCTGAACCTCGTGCGGTCGCCAGCCCGATCAACTCTTTGGAACGCTCTGTAGCTCTACGTCTCATTCCCCAGACACGCCACCATCCTCACCACCACTATCGCCTCACACCAGCCGCCAAATTCTTTCGAAACGAGCTCATGGCTTCCGTGGAACACTGCCTCTACTGCTTCGAGGCTCTGGCTTCGCACCTGGAGAAGCGGCCGGGTCTGTCCCTCAAGGAGATCAAACAGTCATGGCCAGAATACGCCAAGACCCTGTCACCCGGCTTCGGTGACGGCAAGGACGGCAAGAAGCTCCTCCCGGCCCTTCAGCGCCTCGCCGAACCCTCCAGCGACTCCGCCTCGGCCTCCTCCGGCTCTAGCATCTCCCTCCCCGCCGAAACACCCGCAACCTCCACCGATTCTCTCGCCGACGACGACGAAGCCGATGACATCTCCGAGTCCCCCCTCTTCGTCACCTGGAACACCGTCTCCTCTTGCTCGGGCCATCGCTCGCTGCGCGGCTGCATCGGCACTTTCGAAGCACAAGATCTTGCCGACGGCCTGTCGAGCTACGCCCTCACCTCGGCGCTGCACGACATGCGCTTTCCGCCCGTCGAGGCGCCCGAGCTCCCCTCCCTCGAGGTCGCCGTCACCCTCCTCACCGACTTTGAGGACGCCGACGACGCCATGGACTGGACCCTCGGCGTGCACGGCCTGCGCATCAGCTTCTTCTATCACGGGAAACGCTACGGCGCGACGTACCTTCCCGACGTCGCCGTCGAGCAGGAGTGGACCAAGGAGGAGACGCTGGTGAGCCTCATGCGCAAGGCGGGGTGGATGGGCAGCAAGAGCAAGTGGCAGGACGTCGAGCTCAAGGTCGTGCGGTATCAGGGCAAGAAGGAGTCTTTGGAGTACGGCGAATACAAGAAGTGGGCCGACTGGGTTCAGAAGAACAAGACGAAGTGTGGCTGAACATCCGGGCTTTTGATGTTGCCTACATTATGATGAAGAATATGCAAATGGCGTTATACTAGGGAGTTGGGACATCCGATTTTAGGAGTCATGGATTAGGCAATGGGTTACATGGATATAGAAGGCTTCTAACCCCTTCTACTAGATGGAGGGATGCCTCTGTGTGGTAATACAGGCAACTTCAGCTCTACAACTCTGGCTAAACGTTTGTCTGCGTAATGAATTCCGGCTGTGATTGTATGTGGCAAATGATGTAGCGGCATCTGAGTGCTCTTAGTAGGTAAGTAACAAGACAACGGTAGCCATTTTCGGATGATAAGGATGGTATCACAGTCAGTGCTGAAGCTCATTCACGATAGCAGTATGGTTTGGTCGCTTGATGTAACTTCATTATCAGTGTTCAATCTGAGACATGGCCCTCAGGCCTCTTAGGCATCATCTAAAGTGCTAGTCATTGAATCTGAGGTATCTTGGACGCTGCTCTAAAAGTCACTTACTTACGAGATGATAAGCTTCCTTCCTCATCGGCCTTGCAAAGTCTTGGTCCTCTCCCGTCCAAGGTGGACTTGCACTAAATCAGATTCTGCGACACTGCGTACTGATGTATTCCCCTACACCTCGAAAGTGGTATGCCACTTCAAGGCATAGCTTTTGGAATGAGTACGCGAAAAGTCATCACGTCTGAACAATTCTGGCATATGTCGTATGCAAAGCTCGGGATGGAGAAGTGTCATCGATACATGCATATAACTTTTCTCTTGGTATCAGGTCTAATTACATTGTACCGCACGCAAATAAATACATTTCATAAAGTCGTAAAAGTTGTGTTCGCTCCTTGCGTCTTTGTTACACAAACAAAAGTCCTCGGGAAGCTGGTATCAAACCGAAGACACTTCACAACATCAGCATGTAATCATGCACCTGGGTCCTCGTCTCACCAGAGGAACCCAGCCCCCGTTCCCCGTCCCATGTCTTAGTATCTCGTCCTGCTGCGACTGCTGCGATACACATTCGCAGGCGGCAAAGGCGACCCGCTAGCCCTCCTTCTCTTGTCAACGACAACAGGCTGCGTGTACCGGACCTCGTCAACCACGTACGACGGGCGCCGGCTATGGCTGTGTCTCGAGGTCTCGTGGTGGTACCGGTGCTGCGTGCGCCTGCGGTGCCTTGAGCCGGGCGATCGGCCGCGGTACCGGCGGCTGCGCTCGTCGTACTCGTCCTTTTCGGACCAGTCGTTGGGTCGGCTCCACATGCCGCACGATTTAACGATCCACAGCAGGAGGAGGAAGCCGGCGATGGAGCCGATGACGATGCCGGCGATGGCGCCCCCGCTGAGGTTGTTGTTGGAGGCGGACTCTTCTGTCGTCTCGGGGGTCGAGGTGATTGTCGTGACGACTTGGCGGGAGGCGAGGATGGCGCGGAGGGGGGAGGGGAGGGTTCTTGTTGGCGGGAGGATATCTGATGGGTGGCGTTTTGTGAGACCTGCGGCGAGGGCCGAGAGGGTGTTTGAGATTGGTGTTATCGGTGCCATGGTGTTGAGATTATGTTTATTTTGGACAGTGGTGTACGTTGTAGGACTGGTGTTGTATGACTGATGTGAGCTACGTGTGAGTGGCCGATAGTGGATGAAGTCTAGTAGAGACACCCGAAGGAAGATGAGACCTCAGATGACAGCTGAGCTAGACCTTGCAAAGGGCGGGGAGGGAAGGACACAAGTGATAAATAGTATGTAGGTGGTGACAGGAATATGACGCCCGTCTACCATAATGAGCGCATTTCAATAAGAGAAAGGCAGGGCAACCTTATGGGCATGGCTCACTGCAAATCTGCCAAGCGAACTTCCCAATGACCCCCGGCGAAGACGATTGAATGGGGCTGGGTGGGAAGCCCGGGCCTGCAAGTCATGGGCCTTATGGATGTGACAAGCAGGGGTAGGGATGTAACGATGAACCAGTGATGAGAGCGAACAGCATCGGGGGAGCAAAGGTTGAGTGCCCATTCGAACAAGTGTGAGTGGAAACATTTTCTTCGTGCCATGGGCATTGACGGCAGCATTGAACAAGCGCAGGAAAGGTAGACGGAATTCTTGGTCGAATCCCCCCGCTCGAGTTTGCAGGGTGAATCTTGGACTAACACTACGGACTACGACGCAGATATGCAGCTTTTTCCCTCGGTAGCTTGGTCTGCCGAACTGCGAGTAACCCGGTTTTGAGGGGACTTCAAGCTTTTGCGCCTGAGCGAGTGTTACTTCAAGCTTGTTTTACCTACAGCTCTACCACCATTATGTACAACAAAGAAGCTGTTTACCCAACTCGAGGTCCACCAGGTCTCGGCGACCATTGTCTCTGATGCGCCGTTTTGATCAATTGTTTTAGTTGGAGCAAGGAGGCCGTTTGGATTTGATGACACAAACCACAACCCTGGTCTCGACTTTCCTCATCTGGATGGAGCATTACGTCTGTCTTACACCGGAGAGGAGGGAGGGAGGGCGGTGGGTTCGGTCGCCCGCACATCACCAGGTATCCCATTGAGATTTCCCCATAACAAAAGGCCTAGACGATCAAAAAAAGGAAAAAAAGAAAAAAACAAGCTGGCGATGCCGGAAGGAAGGTTAATTCGCGATACGACTCAAAGCTAAGCGTGCTAGGGCTAGTACATCGCAGTAGGGAAGGGAAAAAAAGAGAAGAAGTTAAGCGTGGATCCCGCCGAGGATCATCACAGCTACGTCACTGGCTCGTGGCCGGGGGGTGGCTGGGTGGATGTTCAAAAATTCCGCATCGGCCGACAAGACGCCATTACCATTGGCCAAACGTGTCCGGAGTGGGCCCTCCGGCACCTCGGGCCCCCCCACACCTTCACACGCCACCAACCAAGCCCCGTCCCTTTCTCATCCGCCCGCCTGCCATCCCGTCACAAGGACGTCCAGCGCACAGCGAACCTTCTCCATATCACGGCGCCGAGTTTCCTCTCTGCCGCCATGTTCCTTGTTCCTGGGGCTAGCGTTCCGTGTCTTTGATCTCGATCTTTTTTTCCCGGATTGCCGGCGCTTTCTGTGCGCGTGAGACACCCATCCACCATCGCAAGAAGGAGGGGGAGGGAAGACCGCCTCTCTATGTTGGTTGCAGTTGACAGCACGGGTAGACCGTTCTACTTGACTAGGGGAAGGACACCTGCCCTGAGTTGCATTGGGCGTCCAATATAATACAACATGCTGGTCCAAAAGTTCATGCCCCGAGCTTTTCTCCATCATACGAGGACACGCCGTTGGGCGAGTCAGGTTTCAGCGAATCATTCTTTCACCGAGCTCACCGAGCTCACCACAAACAGCAAAAATGGTTGACCGTACACCGTTTCGAGCGTTTTGGCGGAGTCCCCATGACCCAAAATAAACGATCTTCAGGGACGTTTGCACGCCCTAGAACAGCGATCACGATAACCTTACCAGCTTTTAACAACATGCTTCCTCGTGCCCTTAGATTAAAGGGTATCTAGTTGTGGATGATCTCTCTTGTCATGTAATTGTTCTTTAGGTTTGTACCGACGGGGTTCACACCACGACAATACCCAAGGACCAGAACACCCCCAGCAATCAGTCGACGATCTGGGAACCGCGCCCTACCGTCAACGTAGGATAACATGCTCAAAACAGTCGCATTCCTACTCCGTACCAAGCTCAGGTGTCACATTGAGGACCAAGAACCACGGCTCGCCCGACTCGCCGCGCGGCGGCCATTCGAGAAACAATTGAACGGCCCGCAGCCCGGATCTGCCGAAAGGTTACCGTGATGGGGCCCGTTGGACTTAGATGAGGGAACCCGCTTCCTGTGGGGACCCGGATCTGCGTTTGAGCATGGGGCGCGTTCTTTCAAACGTCACGGGAGAATCTGAGATTTCTTATTAAAACAGCAGGTTGGCGCATGTTTCGACGACAAGTAAGAGTCGCCTGGGTCGAATGCTCTCTGCAATCTGGACCTGCGTCAACCTGCGTCTATCATGACCCACGTGGAGACTGGAGCTGCGCATGCAATGTCTAATGTTATTGCTGACCGTGACAGGACGACAAGGTGTCTCATTTCGGGTTGTGGCAGGGTGCTTGACTCTGTTGCTTTCCCTTTTGGGACGAATCCCTGTTATTGCTATGCTCTTGACTAAGAGCTCCTCTTCGAGAGGAGTTCACGAGCCATGCTGTCTTTTTGGCAGTGAAGAGTTGTGTCTGCTCTTCATAACTTACTTATCTCGGTGTGGAAAGATCCTTCCATTGGTCCATCACCCATCTAAGCTAGAAGACGGGCAAGCTCTTGCTATATGCGCACTCACCTCGCCAAAGTCACGCAAATTCCATGTTTCGATCTGATTCAGCCTGCTCCGATCTTCACTGCGATTTCAACACCCCCTAAGGCGGTGATAGGGCTGATGAGGCTCGAAAATCTCATTTTTCTCATTTTCCTGTTTGGGATTCACTGCGATTTTAACACCTCCAAAGGCGGTGTTGAGGGGGCCGAAGAAATGTGGCGAGAGCTTTCAGTGCGTCAATGGTGGAGTATCTCTTTCAACTGAACATAAACCGGCCATGAGTTTCGATTTTGTGCTTCCTTATCTAAGCCTCCCTCTCCAAGTAAAGTGCTTCTTCGGATCCGCCGCCAACTCCCTCATCGCTTCAACATCCCCCGTCTCCGGCCCGCTCTCAATTGTGCCGGCCTCAACAGCTAGCCTAGCATACTTGACAGCCTGCTTATTCTTCCCAAGCAAGTTGAAATTGAGGGCCGCAGTCGTATACGCACCCGCCAACTTCGACTCAAGTCTCTCCTCCTTAAACAACTTCAAAAACCTCTCCACCATAGCCACCGTCACCTTGGCTCCAATATCAGAGAGCTGCCTCTCCAGCTCCTCCACCTCCATCAGCCGCTGATCTGACGCCGCGACGAGCTTCTTGGGCAGACTGCACTGCGAGCACCCGCACTCGAAGCCCCACGCCCTCTTGGCGCGGTGCTGCCGCACGGAGCGGACGCCGAGCTGGTCGAGGTATGATATCGTTAGCTCCTCGCCCGGCTTGACCGGCCTGACGATGGTGGTGCGGTGGCGGAGGCCATCGATGCGGAAGGCGACGTTGGGACGGCAGTCGTGGTTATACCGTGAAACCTCAGGGAAGTTGCCGTAGTGATGGCCGTCGCCCTGTACACCGCCGCCGAGGTCCATCTGGAACGAGTTGGTCGCCATGATGTCGCTGACCTTGTGGCCGCCAAAATGCCCCATCTGGCCGAGGAACGTCTTGCGTGTTTCAGCCGGCAGGAAGCTTGTGACGCTGTCAAGGAGGAAGTGCCGGTCTGCTGCTGGCGTGCGCTCGATGAAGGCGCGGTGGGCGAGGAGGACTGGCGTCTTGAGCATGACTGTGTCGCCCCGAGCGAGGGTCTTGTTGGCGAGCATGCCTAGTCCCTTGCCTTCTACCTTTGCGATATGGAATGATGGGTTCCGTGATGACGGACCATCTTCTCGGTCTGGAGTCTGTAGGTCTTGTTCCAAGGCCTTTGCTTTCCGCACGTTTTCTGGTGTTGAGATGATGACAATCCCACGCCCGTTCGCGAAGCCGCGATTTGCGTATAAGCAGTAGACTCCTGCGCACCCGTGAGGGCCCGTCCATCCCAATGGCTCCGTCTCTGTCGTCTCGTTTCGTTGCCTCTGCCTAAGTTCTGTATTTTGCTTTCTTTCTGTCGCGATATCCCAAGTTGAACATTCTAGGAGCGTCTCGAGTGGTGTCCAGGGGCATGTTCGCACCCCGCCCAGGTGTGCTTGGGCCTCCGATGCGACCGTGTAAGACGCGAACGCGAGAGGGAATAGTAGTGATGAAGACAACATCATGTCTATCTAAATGTACAAAAAAAACTTCAATCTCGAGGCTCTCTTTTTATGAGACGATTTTGCATTTCTGTCAGTTGCCTGACGTGGACTTAAAGTATCCTGCCTCGTGGACATGGGATGAAAAAGCTGCTTCTTGCTGTATGTTAGTCTTGGCATCGAGGAGACCCCCCACCCGTTTCAGCAACGTTTCTGAAACTTGACTGGCTAGGAGATCAGCGCAATGAAGGCGGCTTTGCGGCTCGTCCCCGTCTCATATTCTCTTGGGACGTAGCAGCTGTTGGTTCAGCGTCTACCAATGTTCCTTGATATGATACTGGATTGTCACTGGCGTCTTCGGGAACGCGGCAGTCTCGTTTTGCTTGGTGAAAAACGGCTGAAAGCCGGGGGCAAGTGCAGTCGCACTGGCTGAAGATTGCCTCACTGCCCCTAAGTTGCTAGAGTCAATATTTTGAACTCAATTCTTGGTGACGCTATCTTCTCTGACTTGACTCAAATTGCAGCCCATCACGTTGCTGCTGAAGTCGGCCCTTCTTCTCCTTGATCGTACGTGATAGTTACGGTGCTACTCTTGACAACCTTGTCCTCGCTTTCGGGGTACGTATCACTCTGGCGCCCAGAAGAGGATGTCTCAGCATTCTTTCCTGGGTTCACAATGCTCTCTTCACTGTCTTCCTTGGCATGCATCGTGAACCCGTACACATCAACCTTTTTCCTAGGTTTGCTCCTTAATTCGATCGAGTCTTGCTGCGGTTGCTGCTGCTGCTGCTGTGCACTTTTCTTGCTGTGGCTGTTGTATTGGTAGCTGCCCGACTTCTTCGCGAGAGACCAGATGCTGCGTCCTTTGAACATCTCGAGGATGGGTTGCAGAATCGGGATGCAAGCCGCGATGATGATGAGGTTCCCCTCAATGCTGTCGATTACACAGTTTAGTCAAGTCCTACTTGAAAGAAAGAAGGTGTCACTCACGATGTCTAATAAAGTGGATCACATAAGTCGTCTGCAATTGATAATTAGTTGCAAGCTCTGTACTTGAGGCTGAGATGGTTAGGAATTTTACAGCTGACATCTTGACTCGAAAGGGTTGGTACACCTGTAGCCTTTACAATACCAGCACATCCGGAGCTGTTGTTGGATCTCCGTCAGCTACGCCTCTCATCCAGCGGCAATGACACTTACATGATGCCCATTCCAAGAGCGCACGTGAGCGCCAGCTTCTTCTGAAATCGCATATGCAATTTCCAGAGCACTACTGCTGGATATACAGCCAAGTAGAAATCAAGAAAGGCAGAAAATGCTGTCAGTGAGAGACAGCATATGATTCCCATCGACTAGAGTACCCTGAGATGAAGCTTTCCCGGCGCGAGTAAGCGGGTCAGAAGCGCGATGACGGCTAGCTTTGGGAAGCCCAGAGTTTCGATGCGGGGCACGTACGCCGCTATCATCCACTTGACCGTGTTCTGCTTTTGTTCTAGATTGAGAACCGTGAAGTGTTTGCCATTGCCCCAGCTTACTAAGATTGTCACTAATGTGTTCGAGAGGATGGCGCAGCCCTATTAGACATCAAATTGTTAGTCAGTGTTCCTCAAGCTTTGTCATCGATGATCCAGATACATGACTGAAACGACGTACAGATGAGAGAATGATCCAGTAGTCATCGCTGAACAGCCTTCGGTGCACAGTGGCTCGAACGAAGAGCCGTCCACCGACGAATATCAGGCCAAGGGCAGTGAAGGTCCAACAGACCGCAATGATCATTGGACCTTTATCGTCGACCATGTTGACAAACTGTGTCTACTGAACGATGAGGGTATGCAAAAAAACGACGAAGACCTAGATTCACCATCACGAAAGGATGTAGAGAGGCAGAAATATTTCAATATTTCAGACCTCCAGCGTGAATATTATGATTCCATACGCCTCGGACTGGTTCCGCTTGTTGTGCATTGCAAATTGGGTCTGCTTCAACACTATTCATGACTGCACAGGTGGGTCGTTGGCCGTTGGCCGTTGATCAACCGTCAACATCTTTCCCGAGCTATCGGTTCGGAAGGAACTTTGGTTGAAGTCTGTCACTTATGGCCTGATGCGACCCCGGAGGAAGTCCGAGAATGAGACTCCGGAAACCATAAGCCCGGGGAAAGACCCTCAGCCTGTCAAGGCTTACGTATAGAATTATTGGCGGCTGGGATAACTTGTTGAAACATTGCTGATATGCATCTTGTCGCTTCTACCACCGGCTTGGGTCTATAGGAATTGAATGCTTGTACTTGAAGGTTGATGTGTGGGGGTTGCAAAGCAAACAACAATTCATCACACGATAACTTACGTACCCCTTGAATAGCATCCCGGTGACTCTATCAATCCGGCCGTTGAGACGGAAACGGATGTAAAAGTGGCGATCTCTGTTGGAAGCAAACCAAACCAACATGATTTCAGTGGGTACCGCGGAAAGTAATCGTTGCAACCTTTCTGACAATACCCATGATCCACTTGGATCCTTTGGAAAGCCGCGTCTCTGCATGACTTAAAGATGATTCTCTTTGAACCGCTTGTGTATAACATGGCAGATTGCCAAAGCTCGAGATTCCCTACAGCTTTTCATTAACCATTCGTCTCCCTCACGAACTCTGATTATGGCTGAAGATCTTGACCTATCTCCTGGTACCCGCCCGAGCAACTTCGCGGCTGTGGGTGGCCTGTTGCAAGACATTAATGATCTGCAGACGAAGCTAGTCGAGGGAGACGAGGAGACACGCCCTGAACTGGTTATCAAGACCCGCAGCCTTCTTCAGTCCCTCCAAACACCACGTGAGCAAATGGTGCAGCACACGTGGGCGGACGTGAGTACCAACTTGAAGTCGGTTAACTGAGTTGTAAGATTGTTGACTGGAGCTAGCCGGGACTGAACGCAGCTTTGATCACCGGAGTTGACACTGGGCTATGGAATCTCATGGCCACGAATGGTGCGGATCGACCCCAAAAGGTTGGCGATCTGGCTGAGACTCTCGGAATTGACCCTGTGCTTCTTGGTAGGTGGTTCCCATCATGTAGGCCTGGAACGTCGTTCGGCTTACGGTGTGTATAGAACGTCTTTTGCGCCATGTCTGCGCAATGGGTCACCTGGAGGAGACGGCGCAAGACGAGTACTTGCTCACCAACTTCACCAAGTCATTGGCCCTAGATGTTATCGGCGATGGCTATGTTGCCATGTAAGATTACCTGCCTCTTTACTTTCCACAATACTTGTCACCTCAACTGATATCTCATACAAATCATAGACTCGGTCGCATTGGTCGAAATCCGATCGAGTTCTCCAAGTTTCTCCGGGAGACCAACTGGCAGATTCCTACTGATGCTGCACATACGGCCATGCACGCATCTTATATGACAGACTCACCTAACTGTCTCGAGTGCCTCCGTTCAATAGGACTAGGACCTCACACAAACCATCACAGTAGGTTAAGAAGTAAGATCCAAGGCATGAAAACATTTTCACTGACGACAACTTCACAGTGGGAGGCTATCGACAAGGGCGGATGCCCTGGATGCATCCTTCGTTGTACCCTGTCGAGAAGACCCTGTTCTCAGATGCGGATACCTCGCCCAGTGCACCACTTCTGGTGTATGTGGCCGGTGGCCTTGGCCATGACATTGATGAGTTCAAGAAGATGTACCCGAATCATCCAGGCGTCAGTCTTCCCCCATCACAGGATTCATCTTGCTTGAGGTCCAAAATATTCTCTTGAATCTTTGCTAACAGTCAAGCAGAAACTCATTCTTCAGGATCCTCCCGTAGTCATCGACGACGTCAAGGGCATTGACACCAGCATCGAGCTGATGGGCCACGACTTCTTGACCGAGCAACCAATCAGAGGCGCAAAGGCCTACTTCATGCACTCGATCATGCACGACTGGCCAGATGACGTGTGTAAGAAGATCCTGGCTCCCCTGGCAAAGGCGATGAAGCCCGGATACAGCAAGCTGTTGATCTTTGAGGTGGTAATTCCGCGCACTAGTGCTTATTGGGAGGCCACAGCGGGCGATATTCTGATGATGACCCAGCTCTCAGCGTTGGAACGCACTGAAGACCACTGGTACCAGTTGATTGAGGAGAGCGGTTTGAATTTGAGAATTGCCAAATTCTAGAAGTGTGGCCAGTCGGATGTGGAGAATCTTATTGAGTGTGAGTTGGTGGCTTAGCGTACAGACTCGAGGACAGGCAGGCAAATGAATCCTTCATCAAAACTTTCGACATTAGACCAATATTTCGAACAACATGATACTGTACACCGTGCATCATCACTGCTTTAAACACGTGTCAAGGTGAACCTTTTAAACTTGTAATGAATTGGAATTTGGAACGCCACGACGAACTATCAAAAGCTATGAATTAGGGAAAAGTTGAAGGCTAATAGCCTCTTTGAGTAAAGAAGTTGTTTGAGAAGAACAGTCTCATACGAACTGTCTTCTTTGAGAATAGAAAACACAACCAATTAGCTCCTAAATTCTTTAGGCCTTGGTGTATGCCTGCAGGCAGAAGCCAAGGAAAGCATAACCTCCAGCACAGCGAACGTTCGAGTTGTTGGGGATCATGTAGACATATCCGCCCTGGTTCGGGCAGTATCCGAAGCCGTAGACAACAGGGTTTCCAGTAGGAGAGCCGCTCGATTGGCAATTGCCGTAGTACGCACCGTCAGAGCGACCGGTGTATGAGCAAGTGATGGGGTAGTTTCCGGTACCCTGCAAGTCGCTGTAAACCTTGTCGTTGGCCGTGGCAGGATCGGGCTGGTAGTAGTCCACGAGGACCTTGTCCGGGCTGTTCAAATTGCGCATCTGTCCGGCCTTGTCGACGTAGAATGGTGTGGCGACTGACGCATCGCGGACGAGGCGGAGCGCGCCTTGGCCATCGACTGTCACGTACAGGCTCCGGTCACCGGAACCTTGCAGGACAAATGCCGTGGGTGTGGCCGTAGGCGTGAAGGCAGCCTCAACGGTGGTCGTGACAGTGATGGTGGTAACCGGAGTAGCCAGCGTGGTGGTTGTGGCGGTGATGCCGTCACAGGAGCAGGCAGACGAGTAGCGCGCCGTGGGAACGAGTGTTCCGATGGTGCTCTTGCAGCCAGTTTCAGCGTAGGCCGGCATGCTGCTTGGGCGGTTTTGCTTTGGCGTGCAGACCGGGGCAGCAGCAGTGGTGGTCAAGGCCTGGCGAGCCTCGATCTCCTCGCGCTTCATCTTCTTGAGCCCGGGGTAGGCATTGGCCAAGGTGGTGGTGTACGATGTGACAGTGGCCGTCTGGGTTGCGGTTGAAGTGCAAGGAGTCTCAGTGACCTGCATCCATGATGAACAGTCTGCTGATGCCGAAGCTGGGCCAGGCTTGGAGCCGAGAAGCGCGCGGAAGCAGTTGTCACGGTTGCAACCGGCTTGACGTGCGAAGAGTTCGTCCGCAGGGGTGGCGGCAGCACGTTGTGCAATGATGCCGCCGACGAGGGCAGTGATAATGGAGGACTTCATCGTAGCGGAAGGTAAGAACCTGAGGTGAGTGTATTTCGATTTGTTTCAAGTTATGATATAGATTGATAGGTAAAGGCCAAAGCTGCTTGAGTTGAGGTGATGAGTGAGTAAGAAACCTATTCTTTCCGAGTTCGACCGGTGGTTCTTATACATAATAGCTCTGTGTGTGCCTTCATTCTTCGAGTTTCTGAGTCCATCTAGACCGCAATTTTGTTTAGACTGCGCTAGAATCACCGCAGCTGAACTCTGTATAGTTCAGCAAGCCCCAATACTTCGCTATTTTGCTCTAAGCTTCGGATGAGACTGAAGCGGAGTATCTTCTCCAGGAAATTCATGCCTAGAATGCTCCATGATCCACCATGTTTTGACGGTACCATGGGCTTGGATCCGAAAGCTGAATGGCATAGTTCGGCAATCATTCCCATCTCCCTGCATTCCCTTTCAAGAGATGCTTGTTTCTACTTCGGGACGTCCATCTCTAAGCGACTCCGAAGTGAGACAAAATTCTACGGCTTAATAACCCCAATTTCAAGTAAGCTCAAATCATACCTTGTCAGGCCATGCGTTTTTCTGGCCCTATTGTCGGGGTGCTTGCTGCATTGCGACGTTGTCAACCAGGATATAACAGTCCAGAACGGTCACTTCAAGCTATAGTTTGGCCGCTACTGCGGGTGCAGCCGTACCGGTGCCAACACCTAGGCCTGAACGGTGCGCTGCCACCCGCTCGAACGGCAAAATCGACTAGCTTACTCCGAGGTACTGTTCACGTTGATCTGCTGATGGTTAACATGGGATGTTCGCTAGTTTGCAAACTAGTGTGACCAGCCCCGAACGATTTCAAGATGGGAATCGTCTTCCCCACTAGCTGAAAAAACCCCTGCCTTAACCCCATTAACCATGCTGGGACCCCTGGCATTCCTCAGAAAAAAGAATTCTCCGATGCTGCGGTGAAGGTAACCAACTGTTGATTCCTGGGACCCCAATCCTCTCCGAGAGCCTGGATTGTTTTCTGGATGAATGAATGGGTTTGTGCGAAAAGAAGGCACGTAAAACTTCACGCACTAGGCTCATCTGAGGTTGTTACTCCTGCGGCTGGGCCAGTATCTCCGCTTTTCGGCAATGAATGAGTTGTTTCCTTCTGCCTGAACATGCCTAAAATCGCTTCTCGCAGAAGAACGGCGATTCCGAGTGGAGCCAACATAAACACAATGGGTCACTTAGACGGGGAAGGGCTGGAAACGAGGCTAGGACCCATGCTTAACGTGAAAACTCCTGGTTCAATGATATTCCCAACTCAGCCATGAATGCCTAAGATATTTCATTGGCTTTTCTACGAAAGCTCGTATGCATGGCATGTATATTTTCGTACAAGGTAGTCTTCTCAGCTTGCACCCTGCTTTGACTCACTTTCAGCTCAGGGTCCCCAAGCCCGATCGAACTGATGTACTCGTGGATTCCAGACCTGTAGATCATGTCTCCGAGCCATTCCATAGACCATGATTCACGTGGCACGAGTCCTCAAACTGACTTGAACCATGTCATCCACAGTATAGTAAACGCCATGCCAAATTTCGGCTTCTCGGATGAGTTTCCTAATCAATCAGAATGCATTCAGACTTCTTCTTGAGTACCATGCCATTCACAAGAGTTCTCAGCAGAAAGCATCCATATCGCAATCTTGAAGTCTAAGTGGCTCAGCGATTGCTTTCAACACATAGCCCGCGATATCACTCGTTGGCTTAGTGGTCAACGTAGGAAATTATATTTGCGCATTCCGTTGAAGTCTTATTTTGCTTGTCTCACTTTCTCAGGTCTGTTGACTCCAAATCTTGTGTTCGCATCACTGGACTCTCGCTCAGCTCTTTCAACACCTTGGCAATGTAAATGCCGTGTTCAATGTCGACTTAGTCAGCCACACTCAGTCTAGCTCACCGCGATCCACTACGTGACAGCAAGGGCAGATACGTCCGGTATATTGTAAGGAACTGCCAGCTGATCCACTCGGTGCATGTGACAATAGCAGCTGTTATAGAATCCACAGTTCATCTTCTTGAAAAATCACGAGGATGTCACTCAAGAATCTTAATGCGCTGTGTCATGCTGAGAGGGTCCCAAATCGTGATACATCTGACGCATGTCGCTCATGTGAGATTGGTAATCAACGATTGCCATAGAGTAAAGAGCTAATCCACGCCAAGACAGTGAGGGTGCAACACATTTCACGTTCCGAGCAACCAGCGGCATCTCTGCTCATCTGATCAATGCGTCCAACTCGAGATTCGAAGGGGCAATTGACACCTTGCTTGGCGTGGGTGCCATACTCTGATAGCCTTCTCTGGGGTCTGGGGTCTGCTTACCAACCACACCAAGAGCCCTATACTGATTTGAGGTGTAAAACAACATCGAAATTAGTCATCATATAAGCAGCTGGAGCTTCTTATACCTAATGAACACCATCGAACTCACAGAGATGATCAAATTTATGGTGAGTAATGCAACAAGTAAGACCTATTGTACTTAGAGTGTGAAAACGCTGGATTATGATTTGCGGCGGTTGAGCTTCCCTCGACTTTCCCAGAGGTCATATCTCGAACGGCAAAAACCGGCTGAGACGCTAAGTTGAATACGTGCACTTATTTATCCAAGGGAATCAGGCTTTCTATGTGAGGAGCACCTTTTTGGTATGTAACTTGAATCCTCAATTGTAAATCATGATCAAAAGCTGTTAAAGACAGAAGCAGACAGTAAGTTTGCCAATCTGTGTCTCAAGCCAGGATGCACAGCTCCTGCGGAGTACAGGCGTGGAAATTTGCCCTTTTGGGATGTGGTTTTGGCACGACCGTTCCCAGGAACACCCCCCCCCCCCCTCTTCTCTCGGCAAAAGGGAGCTTTCTAGTCAACGACCTTTATGAGATGTTTTCTCATCGGGTGAATGAGAAGATAGATCTGGAGAGCAATACACATGGACCTGCTATCCATTCTGTTCCGAGCTGCTCTATGGGAATTATCTCGTTCGAGTGGCTCGATTTGTGCCGAACGCACTTGAACAACGATAGGTGATGCCGAGACTGAAGCAAGTGCGCGTAAGCGCTGAAGGGAACAATGAAACTTGGGTCTAACACATGGCTTTACGACTTCCATCGGAAGAGATAAATACACCTCTATTCTTCCATCGAATAAGTCCAATCCAAAAACACTAAGTTACCAGCTCACCATCAAGCAAACTCTTCATTCTATGACTTACGCTCTGTAAGGCTGTATAGGCTTCATCCGAAACTTGCAAGATTCTCCGATATCACAGTCACAATGGTCAACTCTCCAGAACTGACGGGAATTTTCGCAGCCATCATTACGCCTTTCGCAGATGGCGGAGGCGTTGATGTTACTGCCCTTGACCAGCACGTTAACCGCCTGATTGACGCCGGGATCCATGGCCTGGTCCCTGGCGGTAGTACTGGAGAGTTCACTGCGCTTACGGTGGAGGAGCGTAGAGTTCTTACCGAAACTTGCATCAACTCAGCCGCTGGCCGTGTTTCTGTCGTCGCTGGCACCAGCGACTTAACGAGCAAGGGCGCTGTCGAGTTGGCTATCCACGCCGCGCAGGCTGGTACGGCTGCTGTCATGGTTATCCCGCCCTATTACAAAGCTCCCAACCTCGAGGAGACACGCGAGCTTCTCCGAGACATCCACACCGCAAGCGGACTACCTAGTGTCTACTACAATATTCCGAGCATTAGCGGTTTGACTTTGTCAGCCAAGGATATTGCATCACTTTTGGATGTCGGTATTAAATACCTGAAAGACACCTCGGGCAATGCTCCAGTATTGACTGACTTGCTCTTTACCTACGACCAACAGATTACGACTCTCAACGGCTGGGATACGCTGACTTTCCATGGTCTGGCTGCAGGCGCAAAGGGCTCAATCTGGGGTGCCGTTAATATCATCCCTGAGCTTTCTGTCGAACTTTGGAAAGCACTGGCCGTCGAAGGCGATTTAAGGAAGGGTCGGGAGGTCCGGGAGATTTTCCCAATTTGTAAGTGGCTTGAAACCCACCACTACTATGCTTCTGCAATCAAATCAGGCATGGAGCTTCGAGGATGGAAGACAGGAGGGCTCAGAAAGCCATTTGCTCCCCTCAAGGAGGGTCTCCAGGCCGAATTGGCTGCTTTGCTCGAGACCGCAGGAGTCAAGCTGTGATTAGATCCCTTCTCTGCTTCTGTTTTTCTTTCAAGACGATAGTTAGAAGCAAGATTTCGGCAATAATGAATCTCAGTTGGCTATTCAATTGTTACATTGCTCCTTTGAGCATCCTGCCCAAAAGCTGGACTTACTCACGAAATTGCCATTTGAGACCCATCAACCAAGACATAGTGTTTCTTTCAGGAAAGACCATGACCAATCGACGACTTCAGTGGCTGCCTTTTTTCTCATAGCAATGAAACCGCCTCAGCAGAAGGCTTTGAAGTGAGGTGCAGACCTCGGGCATCAGTGATACTAATGCACTTCAGTGCTCTCTCCTGAAGTTCTGGAGATATGGATTTCCTGGCGCATATATAGACTGTCCACATTATGCCAAGCGCAAAGTCATCGCCTCTGACCATTGAATCAAGGCAAGACTCCAAGTGACCCAAAGCTTGATGGATGACGTATTGAAGGAGCATGGCGCTGACGTCATGTATCTGGCGATGGAAGTAGATGATCAACGCTCGATGCATAGCTTGTACCATTGACTGTGTAGAAGGTTGGGTGATTAAGTTCCCCTCATTATCGATGGACTGCGTTTTTTCCGGCCACAGATAGCACTGCTATTTCGGATTCAATTGATCAGGTCCATATTCTTCCTTCCAAAGTCTTGACGTGCGTTTTGAAGTCACTAGCAAGCTTTGGATTACTTCGTGCGCGAGTTTCGAGGTGATCTTTTTCGTTGCTGAGTTGAATTGTCTGAGCAAGCAGCGTCATGAGAGACTCAGGGATGCCGTGTATGTTCGAATGTAATGTTTCCCGCCAAAGACCTTGTGACTCAAGGTGTATGTCTGCATACCCGACTGTCTTGCTCTTTTCTTCGTTGGGATCTAGTCCTGTGTTAAGGGACTCCTCGCGAATATGAAAACTATTGGATGCAATTGCTTCGAATTCCAACAGGCTTGTGCGATCGGATTCACTTTCAGAATCCCAGAAGGGGTAAGTAGCCTCTGCAATGACCCTAATATAGGTATAAGTGTGATGAAGGACTCTGACTATCTCAGAGTTGTGGCTAGCAAGCCCTTTCACTCGTATCAACCGTTCGGCATCCAGCAGGAAGACACGTGAGTCACGGCTTTCATGACACTACTGAAGTCCGTCAGCTTCGAAAGACTGGAAGTCCAACACAAATTACTCACAGATCCCATGGCCATTGCGATCAAAGCCATCAATAAGTCTTTGTATCCGCCTAGCCCAGAATCGTGGATATCTATCTTCACAGCATTCTTCAGATGCATTCGAGCTCGTTCTTGGTGTTTATTGCCCAGATGTTGCCAGTAATCCGGGGAACGCGGGGTTAAATCCGTTTTGTGGAGTTGGAAGGCGCTATGAGCAAATAATGCGCATAGAATCGTCAGCCGACTTTGAGATGCTTCGTTCAGAACTGACAACTCCGCAAACGTCTCGAAGGCACATAGAAGGAATAGTAGTTGCCACGCTGATTTGAATTTCCCTTGTCCAGAAGTTTTGGTAGATCCAACATGGCTCGTGTAGTAGCGCAGAAGTGCCTGTGCCTGTTCAGGTACCTTTGAGAGTGAAGTAGAAGCTCCGAGGCATGATGATGCAGGTGGTATCGTCACGACAGTGGCGGCATCAGCATGGGGGGTGGCCAACTTATTGTCTGTCTCGACAGCATTGGTGACAGGTACAATGATATCTCCGTCTTCCCCGCAAGTAGTGTCTTCTACATGCTCCGGCCAACTCATTGGCAATATGTCAACAGAGAAGTCTGACTGAAGGTCAGGCATTGAGGCTGAAAATGGGTCTGAGGCGGTTATGGAATCATCCTGGGCAACCAAGAGGTCTAAGCAGCCTAGGAATGACTAAAAAGACCCTTCGAGTTCATCCTCAGACCAGTTCATGTCAAAAGCCTCTTATAGGTCAGTTTGCGGCTGAAGGCCACCATGTTCAGGATCTAAAAGAAGGCTAGTATCATGCTCTGACAAAGTAGGCGACGGTGAAAGCTGGGTTAGTGGGACTTCTCTGCGTTTTACAGACTTGAACGCCCCAAAAGGTCCTTTCGAGATGCTAAAAGCCTTCTCAGACTCAGATGTTTTGTACACCGTGTCAATTTCGGCTAGCACTTTCCCGGCTGCTTTTGGGCCAAGGCTATTTGTGAGCTGGCTGCTCATGATCTCACGTTCAGAGTCTGAAGACACAGTGTTCCGCGTCAGCATGTACAAGAGTTAATGTTACATGAGGATGCATCCGACCTGAAAATAAGGTATACCGGTATTCAGGCACTTCGGGGCCGCGCTGGTTTGCTTCTCCAGAGGCATCGCTATCTTCGATCCAGGTAAGACGAGCGGTATAGCCAGCGCAGTTGATCCCATTGCGCCGGCAAGCTGCACACTCCGGTCTCCCCTCATCGCACTTGGCATGACGACTTCGGCAAGTTCGACACCCCGTAAACGTTCGTGTATGCTCAACTCGACGCCTGTTTGACTTCGACATTGCGGAAACAGGAAAGGCAGGGATAGACTAAGAGATCAGTCGGGCTATTGTCTATTCGTCTTTTTTGGTGAACACTTTGACAAAAGAGTCATTGAAATCGTAAAAGATTGCAGAGAGAGATACTTTTCAATGACGCAAGATTCTTATCCAAACGATATCTGTAAGTGCCGATGGGACGTGGCCATATAGGCATGTTTTCACGGGATTAAATGGGTCCATCGCCCAAGGTAGCACTTCGACAATTCGTAACCCTGCACTGACGAGCAAAAGAACCTGGGGATTACCTACCTAATTTGGCACTCGATGATAAGAAAGTAGTCCTTTATTCGAAGCCATCTTTGTCGAATTTTGTAAAACTGCACTCCCAAGACAGAAGATCCCGAGAAGGGAAATAGTGTGGCAGTGTCATCTGCAACCAGTTCAGATGCAGCATGTTACATAACCGTATGGTCCTTGTCCCTTTTAACATGATTCGATCTCAAAGGGAAGATCTTATCATCTTTTGCTATATTCAAGCTCTTTTGTGGGTAATCATCGTGCAAGGACGACATGTTCTGTTCTTTCTTGTTGAGATGCATATATATTGGGAGTCAGACTGTCAGATCGAGAAGGCCAGCCCGGGCATGCAAGATCGGTTCGTCATCCGATCAAATCAATCCGGCTTCTCTCTACCTGCAGTCTGATATTTTGCTTGATAATATGCGTATGCTAAGTAGGTACCCTGGGGCGTTGATGCTAGATTATTGTCAGAGCGATGACGGAATCGCGCTAGGTGGACCAAAACTCAAAATCCTGCAAAACACTGCTACAAAGGAAGATTGATTCTCTCATCATGATCATCGACATTGACCGCGCAGCAAACACGGCTTAGGCACGGGCTCTATATTCCTTCAGCATGACACCTTCAGCTACTTCAGTTGGTACTTCTGACTTTGTCAGTAATCACGACTCGGAGACCTCCCGAAACAAACACGGCCCTGAGTTGCAGAACAAAACACCGCTTCAAGCTATGTCCCATGGTGGCGTTGCTCTTGGCGGCATGTCAAAACATTTGGGCTTCCAATTACACCGTCAATGGCAACTCAATCATATGGCTGCTGCCTTCCGTCACTGGCATCGCGAAGGCTATGTCGAGGGGATGAGTGGGCATGTGCCGGTTCGTGATCCAGAGTTCCCCAATGCATTTTGGACTAACCCCCTAGGCCGGCATTTCGGCCTCTTGAAAGTTGGCGATATGATTCTTGTCGACTTGGATGGATCTGTCATTAGTGGTAATCGATCTGCTCCTCCGAGTACTGCCGGGTTTCTTATTCACGCCTCGGTTCATAAAGCTAGACCGGATGCCCATGCTGTTTGCCACTGCTATAGTGTGTATGGAAAGGCATGGTCGGTCTTCGGTAGACGGCTGGACATGTTAACGCAAGATGTTTGCAAGTTTCGAGGAGATGCGCATGCCGTGTATGACAGCTACGGAGGTCTCGTCTTGGGTAGTGAAGAAAGCGACCGCATTGCTAGCGTACTCGGTCTAAATGGCAAGGGGTGCATTCTCAGAAACCATGGCATCCTGACCGTTGGGGAAACTGTCGACGAGCCTGCGTTCTTATTTACATCTACCTATGGAACGAACATGTCAGGTTCAGCTGTTGGCAGAGGCGACATCGCACGGAGATAGTGGCCTCCGGAAGGTGCAAATCAGTGATGACGAGGCGAACTTCAACTTTGACGTTGAGAGTGATCCTGAGATTTGCTACTGCGAGTTCCAGGTGTATTATGACCTGGAGGATGAGCTATCCGGTGGAAGCTTAAAGGCTTAAATGGGGATGACTTCCATAGACGCAAACTTGTCATCTCCGATGTTAAGCTAGATAATACAGGCCATGGAAAACGATCACACCGAAAACCCTTGTGCTTTTGTGCCAACGACCTACAGATTGCCATGATTCGAAACGATGCAATCCTTCGAAGATTGCCCTTTGATGAATTACTGACTGAACTTTTGGACGATGAAGTCGACGGCAGGATCGATGAACTCAGGGCGAATGTAAGTGAGGTGGAAGAATGTGCAGGTACCACCGGCATCGCAGATCTAGATATCAGGGCACGGAAAAAGTCAGTCGGAGTCATATGAGATCCTTTAGGTTTCGATATTAATCTTACTGGATCGCCAGCTGCACAGACCTGCCTCACTTTCTCGTTCAGCCCGGCAGGAAATTTGCTTAGGCTGGCTCCGAGCTTCAAGTATCCATCTCCAAACATCACCAGAGATTTGATGCGGCCGTAGAGCTCAGCTGGGATATCAGCTGCGGCAGCATGCATCACAGATGCGCCCTGAGAGTATCCAACGAGAGAGAAGTTCTGATTGGGGCAGGCAGCCGCCTGAGACTTGAGACGGTTGACCACGTCTCTAGAACCTTGACGTACGCCCGTGATGATTTGCGAACTGGCCGGATACTGTATGCACTGTCGGGTTAAAACAGTCTTGGTTAAACATGAGAGAACAAGTACTTGCTTGAACCGGGTATCCTCTGGCACCAGGCAGAGCAACAGTGGCATTGCTAACGACCGGGTCACCGACGATGATGCCGAACTTGCCTCCGCCGCCAACATAATTAGGCTCACTCGTTCCTCGAGCTGGACGTTCCCGAGTCAGCTATAGAGAACTAGCCGATCAGGTGTGCAAAGAACGCACCAACAAGAATCTCAAAGTCAGAACAGCCGGCTGGGATATCTTCCGGTCGGATGGGAACAGGATCGCCAATAGTGACCCCAGTCTCTGGAATCTCGGGACAATCGTCAGTGCCCTGGCCGTTTACAACGGGCAAAGACAGGACGGAAAAAGTGAAAAGCTTGGTGAGAAACATGGTGATTTGTATGTTGTTATTTCGATTATCATGGAGATCAGCCAGGTGATTCCTTGATCTTGCGAAAATAGCCTCACACTGCGGGAGGAATACAACTGAGCTATTTATCTGCAATATCTCGAGCACAGAGTGTGAGGCTAGTCCGATATACCAAGATCATGAGCCTCGGGGCCTCGGCTGTTAAGTTATTGACATCTTGTCTGAGTTGATTGAGTCTATGAAATTTGAGGCTTCATCGCAACTGCTTCCGGAAGAGGGGATTATACAGGATGAGATGCACCGTCAATTCATGCAAATGAAGTTCTCATCCTTGGCTTACTACCGTGTGTGATGGTGTGCTCATCAAAAATATGTGAGGAGAAAATGCAAGTCTGTGTAGGTCGACGTCAAGAAATGGACATTTGGCCAGGCCCCCTGAGTTATGGCTTCGTCTGCCTCGGCACTCTGACTACGAGGGGATCGCGATGTTCTCAACTGGACAGGGATCTGGCTTCTCCAGGGTCGTTCTCCAATCGCATCTCATAAGATGGCCGATTCTGGCCAATGGTGGATACACACCAATGTGACGCAGTCTGCATGCACCCCAGGCGGGGTTGTGGAACAGTGGGACTCACAGCAACAAATTCCTTCGCGGGAGTTACTCGAAATGGTAAGAACACGGCCTCTCATCTATACCAGACAGCGCACTCCAACTGGTTGACTTAGACACACGAGTTTCCTTTCAGTCTTGGCCCCATTTCAGCCCCCACAGATAATTCCCCGAAAACATCGCGGTGGGGGCACAGAAGCAAGCTGGTTCGCCGCAGGATATGTTGACGTTCAACGGCTTGGAACGGTGCTGCATGTTATTACTCGCATTTTCCCGTTGTGCAACTCAAATCGAACGGTTGACAGCTGTTAAACTCGATGGATTGCGGAATCCTTCCCAAGTGACAGAGCAACCCAATGTCATTGTTCATGATACGGAACGGAATTTCGGCAAAGGGAGGCTCAGTGTGAAACAGCTTGCGGGCAAAAAGAAACGCAGCGACACACTGACATGTTCATATAAATTATCCGTCTGAACTGATAGCGCGGCCCGAGCCTCTGTGCGCCCTTAGGGTAAAGATACTCCATTGGACGAGGCCAAAGCAACAAGCACGGATGTGACCTTCACGTGGCGTGGTCTTGTCTGTCTGCACCGCCGCACTGAGGTCCCGTTCTTATGGTATATGTCTTACTCGGGCCTCATGTGGGCAGAAAATTCATGTACATCAGGTCACTGGTCTTGAAAAGTAAGATTGGCGGGTAACGGTGGTGTATTTGGAAAGAAAAGATGCAGCACTCAAGCAGGACTAACAACCGCGTGTCTTGGCCAAAGCCAGACAGGATAGAAACAAAAGAACAGAAGCCTCCGGAAGCCTCATGTCGCAAGCAAAACAGAAAGGGGACCCAGCCAATTTTTTCATGATATGTGCGGAACCACTCTCATCAGCCCACTCAGTGGATCTGATTGCGGGATACCGTTCTCAATGAGGTGACAATCCCACCTGTGAACCTCAGTATGGCAGATGGTGCAAGACAAACTTAAGCCTGAACCTTCTTGATCTGCGCAATGAGGAAGTCAGCTCCCTCCTTGGCGTTGGCGCCGTACGACAGGTGAGGTGCCAGGACGGCGGCGCTCAAGTTTCCGTCGCAGACAGTGTCGCGCGGGTTGGCGGCGCAGATGATCTTGATCTTGTCCTTGGGGAAGTTGGGGATCTGGCCGTTGTCGGCGCGGAACTGGGTGTCTCCGAAGGTGACCACTCCGGCGATCTGGTTCTTCTGCGCATCGGGGGCGTTCTCGATGGCGCGGTGGTTGACGGCCGCACCTTGGCTGTTTTTGAAGCGATCAGCATCTCGAGCCGGGCAAGTAAGTGAGACGCGAAGCTGTGAAACTTACGAGTAACCTCCAGTGACGACGATGGCGGTAGGGCACTTGCTGTTGATATCGCTAAGAATGCTCTTCATCTGGTTGATGCCAACAGGGTCGGCACCACCGGGGAGGAAGTTGGTGTCCAGACCAGCGGCGTAATCAACGCCCTGGACGGCAACCTTACCCGGGAATGCGGCCTTCAGGTTGTTGGCAACAGGGGGTCCCACAACGGTGCCCTGTTCAAAGAAAAGAAAGTTTTAGCATTCAAGTCACCAACAGTCGACAGTTGGGATGAAGGAACTCAAGCAAACCCACCATGTTGCCGATCTCCGTGGAGCCGCGCGCCCAAACGAAGATGATGTCGTTGCATCCGCCAGTCTTGAACTCGTTGGCCGTGCTACCGACGGTGCCGCCCAGCTGTCGCTTAGCTTCTTCCTGCGGGATCGTGGGGTAGGCAAAGGCGGTGGAGGCCAGAACGAGAGTGCTGAGGAACTTCATGGTGAGATAGTTGCGTTTCAAATTGCTTGGACTTGTAAAGAGAATGAATGTGAAGTTACTTGTCGCGGACAAGATGGCAAGGAACTGAAGAGAATGGAAGCGGTTGCGGTTAGCTGCTGAAGTGCCTGAGTGGGTGAAAAGATATCATGGCTTTGTGGTGAGCTTCCCAAGACTTCTTATACAAGGTGATGATATCCACAGCCTCATATCATCTACGCCTAAAGAGGAATATTCAACGAGATTTTCTCCTCATTTCTTGTTGTTCCTCGGCTCTCAGATTCCTCGGCTCTCGAGGAAAGACGCCTCGGCGGTTTTGTTGGTATTGAAGGATGACAAGGTGCGGAGTTCATTCTACTGAGGTCTCGAACGGTTCAGGATGATCAAAGACTGCCTAGGCATGTTACCATATGTCGGGGAAGGTACCAATGTCTTGGGATCAAACACATTGGCACTGCGGCGAGTCCCGCGAGGATCCGCCATGTTTCTCCCGAAGATGCGGTCCGTCATGCAGACTCAGGTCTGTCATTCGTTCTATCGTGTGCGGCTCGGAACCTGCCAGAAACCTAATCAGGCGCCGTTTGCGAATACATGTATACAACATGGTCGTTGGAATTACCTGTTTAGATCATGTAGTGCGGCTCGTGTGTTGACTTCGGACGTAGGCAATGACAAGATGAACGTGAAAGGCCAATGACAGGACGAACCACGCATTGCTTACTCCTACTTAGGCCGTTTCAGCTAGTCAGGGTTGCCTACCACTCTATTGAGTGCCAGCTGGCATGGTCACCTCCTGACCTGTTTTCTCCGCACAAAACGTTTTTGAGTGCTGTCACCCTGGAAGTCTGGACTCAAAAAGAGGAGCGTAGCATGGATTAATCCGTCGCATTGCCCCCTCAGTCACCTTACTCAAGTGTGCCAACGGAATTTGCCACACAATGGGTCCTTATGGATACTAAACTCCCAGTTCTAACATTGTGTGAAACGAAGACGCTATCACGAATTTGAAATAATTAATGACAGTTTAGTCAAGTAGGCTTCAATGTTGGATGCAACGAAACCTGGCTGCGTCAGGCTGGGCTTAGTTGTCGTTCCAACATTCCTTGGGATATTTTTACTCAAGTGGGCGTATGGCAATGATACATGTAGCTTTGCAAGCCCGCTATGCACACAGGACACTCGCATTAAGTTTGAGCTTGAGCTCAAAAAGTCTACATATTGTAGTGTCTTTCATTCAGTCTGGTTTTGTTTGATTTGTAGAGGCCTCCGTGCTCTGGAGCACAGAGATTTAGTTTCTTACCTAGGATTTCAGTTGATTAATTGCTATCCACGATCTAGTTGCCATCATCCGAACTACCCGTCCAATCGCATCCGCCTTTTCCCAATACTTGTGGGATGGCAGCTCCACTTGCCTAACTTCCGACAACACCGGTCGATCATTCTAAGGTTCCATGATTTTCAATTAGAAGATCGAAAGCTTGTCATTCAATAAGGTATGGAATTCAACTAGCACGTTTTACTTAGTTTGGGAGGTCGATGAGCATTGTTTTCTAGCCAAGTTTCACGCAAGATCAAAGCTCCATATTCAAGGAACCAAGATGGAGCCTCTCACCTCTTTGGCCCTTTCTAGCTAAGTCGATCAATGATTTTACAGGAGAAGCGGGACACCGAGGAGGCAAAATGGGCACGGGGTGGAAGTTTCGTCTGCCCGGTATGACATCTTCAGCTACCATTCGTCATGGGGTCGTTTGCACCGCGACCAATTCATCGAAAGATTTTGCGTTTGGCTGAGTGGCTCACCCCAAAATATCAATTGTTATGGGCCCATGGGAGGTATTCCAGCCATGAATCTTGAGTGAAGTTCACAAACTTCAGAACAGGGGATCATTCAACTCTCGGAATTCCCTTAAGGTGACTTGATGCCGTCCTCTGAGCTCAGAGCCACTGCCCTAAGACTCTTCCTGATGCATTCAGCGGATTGCCAATTCAAGTACCCCACCACAATGACTCGTTTCATTGACCAACCTGCCGAGGCATGAGGCATTAGATTCGGAAATGCAACCTGCTGGAGGACTCATGAGCGTTTGGTGGCATTACCTTAGATGATAAAGTTGCAGTGAAGTCAAGGCATTATAGACCTGAAAGTGCCTCGGCACGAAAGCAGGACTCTTTTTGTTGTTGTTGTTGTTGTTGTATTTAACGCCGTGGCGGCCGGGCTAGAGCCCTTACCGCAGACCTCCCGAAGGGTATATGGCGTGGAGGGCCGTGAGCCAAGGCTACCTACTCTACAGTACGTCGTCTCTTTACATCGTCCTCCAAATCATGCCTTGTGGCCACTACGCGTTCTGTCTGTCCCCGGTTCCCGCTGGTGCCCCAGTTTCATTCTTTCCCAAATCGTCCCTTGGAATCGGGAGGTTCTTTGTAGTCCGCACTCACATCTACCTAGGTGTGGATGCTGCTACCGCAGACAGATCTTCTGGAAGAAGTCCGTCACGCGGAGAAAGGCCTCGAAGCCTCGTGGGTCGGTGATTAATCTCTTGAAGTAGGCCTCGAGAGATCCCATAGGACCTATGGGCTCGGGCATACTGCGAGAGTGGAGGGTCGGCCACCGTTGCCTCCTCGCCAGCGTTAGTCGACAGTAGACCAGGTGGTCCACGTCTTTCGCCTCTCCACAAGAGCACATCATTAGAGCGTCGTCGTGGTTGAAACGTCGGTGATATTGCTCGAAGTCCCCGTGACCCGATCGTGCCGCCAGCAGGTGATGTAACGTAGCCCGCGGCAAGGCCAGTTCAGGAGGGCTGGACAGAGCTGCCTCAAGCCCCAAGTCCGCGTACCGCGGCCTTCGCTCTTTATACCACCATCTCCTGTGCTGGCTTTGTAATTTTTCCCTTGCAAGCCGCTTGATGCCCGCTAGTGTTGCCATTTGACCCATCCGCGCCGGCAGTGTCGTTCCTTCTTTGGCCAGCCGGTCCGCGGCCTCGTTTCCTTCGATGCCCTGGTGTCCCGGGGACCAGTGCGTCCGTATATCAAATATCCTGGCCGCTTCTTGGATTTCGAGGAACGCGTCTTGTGACGAGTCCGGCGCCTTGCCGCGGATGCCTTGTATAACGCTGGTGTTGTCGATACATATGTGGATTGGATGACCGCGATTGGTGAGCAGAGCCCTTCTGAGGCCGGTTCGCGCCCCTTCGACCTCGGCGTCGAACACTTCTGCTAGTCCGAGTCGGCCGCACCCTTGCGCTATGCGTTTGGAGTCTCGGTAGATGACGAAGCCGTACCCCACGGCTCCGTTCGTCGCCCTGGAGCCGTCCGAGAAGACGATCATATGGCTTTCCGGTACTGTCTTTAGCCAGCGCTCGAAAGCTTTCGCAGCCTCTTCTTTGCATTGAACTACTATCTGATCCTGTGAGCTTGGCAGGTACTGTGATTGGAGGAACGTTGGTCTTCCGCATCTTGGCAGAAGTTCAGCCGTCCGTTGTAGTCTCGTCTGTTGCTGTCCCTGCTGGGAGAGCCGCGCGACTAGCGGGTGTCGGCGATCAATCCTCTGTAGTCGGACTGCGGCCCGTAAACGGACGCCTTCTAAGGCGACTTTGGCTGACGGTAAGCCGGCGTCTCGGAGGAGGCTACTGGTTGGCGTTGTCCTCCAGACAGGTAGAACGATCCTTGCTGCCGCTGTAATGACGCTGTCGATCTTCTGCACGAGCCCCTTCTGGCCTGTGTTGACGGGTCTTCCTTGGAAAGGCGGACTCGTGTCTGTCTCCGCTTGGCGTCTCGAAGCCGGCTTCGTGATACCTGCGTACCATGTTTCGGCGCCGAAGAGCGCGATCGGCAGTACGTAGGAGACGACGGCTTTTCGCACGGCGGCCGCTGGCAGTCCTCTCTTTGTGTTTGTAAGCTGCCTCAGGTGTTGAGA